AACTAAACAGGTTTTCAATTACATTTTGTGTCACAAAATTGTCCAACACACAAAGATACGTAGGTAGTTTCTAATCAAAGAGTTTGAATACAGCCAGCCAATATTAATGTTAAAAAGGCTGGAAGCAGTTGACTTTTTTAATAAAATGTTCAATTAGCAAGATATTCAAATAATAGCTAAAATAATTTAAGCTCAACTAAGTGATCTTTATTTAAAATGTTTTTCAAAGAAGTTCCTAAGCAGAAGACGCCCAATCAGGCTGTCTGAATAGTCAAATGTCAACTAAATTAATGAAGTTATTAAATAAATGTAAATTTAAATTTATGTTAAATTGAATGTAACAATATAAAAAATGTAACCATTTTTATTTTTACTGTGCAACATTTCCATTTTGATTGTTATTTTTATGATGGGACCAAAATGACTGGACTATGATGCCTTTATTTAACCAGATATCGATGCATCAGTGGGAAATAATCATCTCTGACAAATACTCATCCACTTCAGTCTGTGGAAATTCTTCAGTTCCAACATGTCTCAGATGTTTCACCGCCTGATTCACTCAATCACTGAACTTCTCCCCTCCTTCATTTCAAATAACTTTTCTCATTTGTGGTTTAACAGTTGGCATCTATTGCTGCTCTTCTTGTGTTTCACGCCTGTTGACAATAAGGGAAATGTGAAATTATGTGAGTAAAATGGAAAATGTTTAGAGAAAATCTGAAATGTGTAGAACATTACATTATGAGGCAACAAGGAACTAAACAAATCAGTTTGAAACTTTACAAATATGAAGAGTTACAAACAAAAAAAAAGATTTTGAGTTTTTATCAACTTGGCAAAAAGTTAAAACACGTGTTTATAGTATTTAACACTGTAATGCTATCAAATGTTACTCGTTTACTTAGACGTAACACTTTTAAGTCATCACCTAAAATCTTAACTCTTACCCAGACTTGCTAACTCATTCAAATATAAATAGAAGTGATTACACAAACCTGAGCTCAGGAAAAGTCAACACGTGTACTGATGGCCTCAATGAGTTGTCAAGCATCCCTGACTTTCTACCAACATGTTTCTGAGCTGTTTAGTGTCGATGAGAGCATTAGCATCGCCATAAATTCCTTTAAATCACTTAAAAAGGGGTTTTCACATTCCACAGCTAACTAAAGGTCACACATATAAATCGTTTAAAATAAATAAAGCTTAAGGGCCCTGACACGCCAAGCTTCCCGACCATCGCCTGTAGTTCTTTATCATGGAGAGTGAACCTCGCCAGTGCAAAATAAAGATGATCTTCTTAGCCTGGAAGTCAGGAATCCATAGGGGGTGAAAGAGGAATCTAAAAGGGTCATAAAACGATCACTCAAGTAAGAAATTAGAGAGCCTAGTACTAAATTAATTATTTATTTTACTTTTCTCCCATGTTTTTTTTGTAAAATACTGTATATTTGTCCTTGTTTAAGAGCTGGTTGTACCAGATCTTCCAATTTAAACATATGTTTTAATATTTTTTTACGTGGAGATTAGTTGACATTTCATCTCAGACAAAGCCATGCAGGTAAAACTATTGCATGCAACTTTGAGCAAAAGATAATATCGAATATAGACATGTCTGTCCTGACCATTGAACCAAAACTGGGGCTATTTGAAATTTAAGTTTCACCAAAATGAACCAACATACCCCAAATTACAAAAGTACATGACTGCTAACTCTAATATACACATATATGCACAAACAAACAATACCTAGATTTAAAGGATTGCGGTGCAATATTGTTTCGCCCCTAAAACTATGTACTTCATGAATAATGCTACCGCTTATTCCTAGCAACTGATTCAACATGTGAAAGCCTTTTTTCAAAGATATTTAATACATTTTAGAACGACCTCATTTATTTAATGACTAATTTCTCAAATAGATGTTACAACCCAATACAGGGCTCTTATTAAAAATATCTGAGGAGGGAAAATAACTCTTGGATTGAAATACTGATAGAAGAAAAACAACAGCAAAACGGATATATCCATTCAAACCAACATTACGATTGGCAGAGTGGCGGCCATTTTTATGTCGACTGATGCATTGCAAAGTGACAGTGGTAGCCGGCACTCAATTTGTATTCGGCTACAGTTCCATCAGTTTTTCCATAAACACATATCAAGAACAATATTAGTATGGATGAATATGTGACCAAGATCCCCATCACACATGGCAACTGAGCATTGAGCTGCAACTTGAGTTAGTTACTCCGGCAACCCGTCAACCCGCTCACCCTTTCCCCAGGGGTGACATGTGTACACAGTCTGGTGTGTTGTCACTGGAAAAGGCCATGAGGCTACATGACCTGCTAAAACACAGTCACACACTCGAGAGTAAAATGGGCTAATAGACAAATCATGGAGTACACCCTCTGAGGCTTGATGGCGCTGTGTTAGTACATGTGATGTTTCTTTAATCAAGCTGTCAAGCAATCACATGGTTTAATATCACATGGAGTATCTGTCTGTTTTACACCTTAACTTTGGAGAGGAAGCATGTCCTAAAAACAGCAGCTGTCGCCTGTCAAATTGGGTTTTAGAGACGTGTGTGTGTGTGTGTGTGTGTGTGTGTGTGTGTGTGTGTGTGTGTGTGTGTGTGTGTGTGTGTGTGTGTGTGTGTGTGTGTGTGTGTGTGTGTGTGTGTGTGTGTGTGTGTGTGTGTGTGTGTGTGTGTGTGTGTGTGTGTGGTGTGTGTGTGTGTGTGTGTGTGTGTGTGTGTGTGTGTGTGTGTGTGTGTGTGTGTGTGTGTGTGTGTGTGTGGTGTGTGTGTGTGTGTGTGTGTGTGTGTGTGTGTGTGTGTGTGTGTGTGTGTGTGTGTGTGTGTGTGTGTGTGTGTGTGTGTGTGTGTGTGTGTGTGTGTCATGCCTGCCTGGCAAGCAAATGGCAGCCACAGTGTCAGGTTGTGCCACACATCCTTTTTTATCTCCGTCCAGCTGTCCTCTCTTCCTGTCATAATTATTTGCAGGCCTGCACCTAAGGAACACTCAGAGGCAGAACATATACACATGTACAGCTACTTACAAACAGCCCTGATGCAGAATTGAAAGCACATAATCTCCTTATAAACGTGTTGTATTACTTTTAAATCCTCTTTTGACACAATAATCTTGCTTTGGTTAAATCGTTAGATATCTTTTAATCTTAACTAATCTATCTTTCATACTTTCGCGTTGTGTTTATTCTCCCTGTCGATGTCTGACAGTAATTGTTTATGGCTCAATTTTATGAGGCTGCTTGGAGGACGAATAAAGAAATTAAGTCGGTCAATAAGCCCTGCAGCTGTTTTCCTTCCTTGTCCATTACACCGTGATTACATCTGTTTTCTCCTCTTGCTTCTCCGTCCCCTCATCGTCTCGCTGCTATGATGTTGTGTTTTCAACTCGACCATTTTAAACAATATTGAAAACAAGTCTTAGTGGTATCATGTTTTCCTGATATTTAGCTGGAAGGTACTGCTCAGATTAATTACTAAATAAGCAGTTAATATATACGTGTACAGCGCTCCTCCCTGCAGCCTGAGGGCCGTCAGCATGTGTGTGTCTGTCAGTGTTGGCTCGTGGTTTCACTGCTGCTCTGCAAGGAGGGTGGGGCAGCAGACATATGGCTGTATGCAATGATTTTATTGATTCTTTGATCTTCACATTTCCTTTTTGTCTCAGTTACACCATCTTTTTCCACGTTATGCACCATTTAGAAGTAGCATTTCGTACGGGTGATTGTTAGTTCTGAAGTTACTTTTAAGGCTGCTGCACAGAATTGTGGCTTTGTCCATAAGCTGATATTTTGCTGTTGGTTAGATGTAAAAAGAAATAAATGGAACTTCTACAATCTAGATATATTTTGTATTGTAATATATTTGTGCCTGATTTTTTTGGTTTACATTTCATTGATTGTTCTTTGTTCAGCATCCCTTCCATAAAATGCCCCCCCTCACTCTTAGTGAGCTAAATTAGCATTGCAGATCATTGCAGTTGAGAAGTGCTGTCAAAAGGCCCACTCCCTCCAAACATTTTCTGCCACTTAAAGCAAAAAATTAGACCACAAGCGCAGCCTTCGAGGGAGCGAACAGCTCCGGTGGACTCGACCTTTGGTGCTTAACATCTTTGCTCATGTTTAATCATAGAAGTCATTAGGCATTGAGTGGGTTGGTCATTTGCATGGATGGGCGCAAGCTTACCTGAAGGAGTTAAAAGGGATCGATATTGATATATGAGAAGGTGTGGGCCACTTATCGATGTCTCAGTCGATCAGAGTCACAACAACCAAGGACAAAAAGATTTAAAGAGCAGCCATAAAAGACTACGGTTGTTATTCGCTGGAGCCTTTGATGATTTTAAACCCTGTATAACAGAACATTGATTTAATGTTCTGAAATATCAAGCTGATGATGTGGATATTTAGCAAAATGTGCATTGTGGTCTACCATACAATGTTGTCACAATATCAATATTGAAGTATTTGATCAGAAATATCTTAATATATGATTTTCTCCCTATCACACAGCCCTAGCTGGAGTTGATGTTTGAACTTTTTGTGATTTATTTGATCATTTTGGTTCTCCCCTGTTGGTCTGTAGAACATCTAGAGCTGAGATCTCCAGCGGCAGCGTCGTCCCCAGATCTGCCGGTGTGATTAATCTGCTCAATGCCTGCTCTGCTTTTTGGGCATAACTCAATTCCCTCAGCTCTAAGCTCGGAGGGGGATCTGGAAGCTGCAAATCCAATCTCCCTGCTCTCAGTATTACCCTCAGTGACCAGGCCTCGCCCTACTTCTCCCACCACTTATTAAAGCCTCATGTTGCCGTTGCCTACAGTAACATCAACAACGCTGTAATGAATTCCCCCCCTGCAGAGCTTTCCACTCGAGATAAAAAAAATATCATGTTGACATCCGATTTTATCTGATATTGACAGCATGTACACAGCAGAATGTCTTAACTGTGTGTTATCTCTCAACAGGTCGCAGGGGAACAGAAATATCACCCAGAATGCTTCACCTGTCTGAACTGCAGGACGTTCATCGGTGATGGAGACACTTACGCTCTGGTGGAGAGATCCAAACTCTACTGGTGAGCCTCAAGCACAAATATAAAAGACATGCAAACGCCCAAATATCAAAGTCAAGATTCAAATCAGTCTGAGATGTTAGCTTGTTACATTTCTTTATTTGTCTACTGTCTAACAAATCAAAGCCTTTTTCAGCTTGTGGTATGTTAGCTCTGATTCCCTTAATTTACCAAACCGTTATTTTCTTTTTTTAGTTTTAATATTCTTTCTTCTGAAACAAACTAATCCTCTAAATCCCTTTGAAGTGCAGTATGGCCACAAAAAAGCTGCCGTTGATTGACACAATCTTAAATGTATGCAGCTTATTTTGGGCTTCAAAGGACTTTTTGGTGACATAACGACCAACTGTGGTGACAAATGACTCAATGCATGGTGGAAACACAGCAAGCACAGCTAACAGTCCCAGTTTAGATGGTTTTAATCCTAAACCTGGAAAATCGGTAATTTCCCGTTTCTTTCGTCAGGTGCAGGTTGTTCTTTTCCTGTGGAGCTCCGAGGTTGTGTCAGTGTGAGAGTCAGGGTTCAATGAGCAACAAGCTGCACTACACAGAAATACATAAGAACAAAACAGCCTTTGTCCTCTTCTGTGGAAGTGGATGATGACAATGTGATTTCTCAGATCATTACATTTATTGAGTGGTCAACCAAACCGATGTATTAGCTTTCAATTCTTTCATAGCTATTTTATTATTCTGATAGTGAGCTCAGTGTTTTCTAAAACATCTTGTAAACAACATGTGATGCTGTAAAAAATGCTGTAATGAGAACTTAATGTTTCCTTATGATTGCACCGACCCTTAAAAGAGACAGAGACCTCACTCAATAATCCCATTTTCTGTTTCTAGCTGCCTCTTTCTCATTACTTCCCGTTAGGCCTGGGTATTGGCAACAATCGGCTCATACAGGAGTTACTACTCAATATTATGATGATATCTTTATTTTTTATTTGGTGTCTGTATTTGCATTTCTCACAATCCACAGCAACATCCACCATCATACCTGTACTCATTGTGTATTGTCAACCACTTTCTGCTACAAATCTTTGTATTTACAGTAAACTGGCAATTATGACTAAACCGTGTTTTGAGTCTGTGTCAGGAAAAATGTATCAAAATACTCAATATTTTCTAATACCCTCACTTTTCCTCAATCCCCCTCTTGCTCCAGCGGTCACTGTTACTACCAGACCATCGTGACACCGGTGTCGCTGTCGGACTCGTCATGCTCGCGGATCCCTCACACGGTCACACTCCTGTCCATCCCAGCCTCTGCCGAGGGCAACAACGGACGCAGAGGGCGAGGTTTCTCCGTGTCCATCGACCAGCCGCTCAGCCCCACCGGCGGCTACAGTCCTGAACATGGACCCACCATCAGAGTCTCACAGTGAGTCTATCCATCCATGTCTGTGTGTCTGCAAATATTGTGGATAGTCATTATGTGAAGAGAAGAGAAACTAACGAAAGGAGAGGTCAGTACGTTCGTGGACAAAGGATGAAAAAAGCTAGACAGTGTGATAGATGAGGTTCATTTAAATGATACAATAGAGTGGAAGGGGAAAGGAAATGAGCAGAAAGTATGAGTCACTGTTATTTAAATTAGCTGAGACTTATCAGATCTCAGGTCTGTGTGCAGGAAGGTGCTTGATTTATGATTTTGTTCTTCTGTATCTAGGGTGGACACAGAGTGCATCAGTCCAGATGTGAAAAACTCCATTCACGTTGGAGATAAGATCCTGGAAATCAACGGGACACCCATTCAAAATGTCCCCCTGGATGAGGTGAGATTTTACCTCACTGTAAATGTGCAAATGAGAATCTCCATCTCATTGTAGCACTATATAAAGCATTTCACCAGACTTCTTCCATGAGAGCATCTCTCTAGCTTCAAAGCAATCTCTGCTGCTCTAACCTGAACTCGTCCTCTCCAGATCGACCTGCTGATCCAGGAGACCAGCCGGCGGCTGCAGCTCACCATCGAGCACGACCCTCACAGTCCGGGACCGGAGGGAGGCTCCTCGGAGGCTGAGGATCGAGTGAACGGCCCCCTGACCACCCCTCTGTCAGAGGGCCCCAGCCCCAACCTGCCCATCACACAGCCCCCCATCCCCGACAGCCTGAGATCCCGCATCATCACGTAAGAAACCCATTTTAATGATGCTAATTGCAGTTTTGCTCTACTTTCTACCGTTTAATGTGAAGAGTAAATTTTGAATGGCCACAAAAAGACTGTACTGCTTACGTGTAGTTGCATACGATATATACTGTGTTAAAAATTGAGGAACACAAAAGCAAAGCAGAAATGTAAAATCTATATCTGCACATTTTAAGTAACCAACGCTGAGATTTTTTTCTTCTGATGTATCATGTTGTATTGCTCTTTTATATTTTGGGTAGAGTTAGTGTAATTCTTTGTCAAGTATAAATGGTAGGCTCCTTAAGCTCATACAGTGAGCCTATTACTGTATGGTCCAGGCATTGTACTGTCAATAAATACCCTGACACCCTAAACTAAATAAGAATAAAAGTAGCAGCAATCACTAATCAAATACTCTACTCTATTCCCTTCCTTCTCCTCCTGTCCCCTCCCTCCAGGCGGAGCTGCAGCATTGATAAGTCACCCGGCTCCAGCAACGCAGCATCCCCCATCTCCCAGAGGAAGGACATTAATCGATCAGAGTCGCTGCGCGTCGTGTCCAATCAGACGCACCGCATCTTCCGCCCATCTGACCTCATCCATGGAGAGGTGCTGGGGAAGGGCTGCTTTGGACAGGCCATCAAGGTGGGTTTGAGTGGCAGAGACACATATGGCTGTATGTAAAATACATTTACATGAATGTTGTGTTTAGAGAACAACGGTAGTCATACAAACATTATCCAGAAGGTGGCAGCATTGAGATAAGTAAGAGAAGTGTGGAGAGGCAGGAGGTTAAAATGTTTGTCTTTATTACACAGAGTGGAAAAAAATGTGTTTCCCATGCTGACAGAGTCTCCCCTCAGACTGCCAGCTCAGCTTAATTGATTTGCATCATTGTGTATGTTATAGGTGACCCACAAGGAGACTGGGGAGGTGATGGTGATGAAGGAGTTGATTCGCTTTGATGACGAGACACAGAGAACATTCCTGAAAGAGGTGAGTGGAGACAGGCAATCCCAGATGTTACGTCATTAGGGAGTGTGAGATTTACTCGAATTATCTTTTCAGAGGTTGAATCAACTATCTGTCATAAACAGAAATCTGAGATCAATAGGTGTTGACCTCAGAGCATTAAAAAACAAACAAATATTTTCTTGAATACAAACTCTTTTATTCCAAAAAATTAGGGCAGTCAGTACCTAAAAATGATAGTAAAATAAGTTTGGTATAATTCCTGGTCCAGCTGCGAAAATCTGTGCTGAGGAAGAAAAACAAAAATGGTATTGTAATGATTGTCAGTATAGCTAAAGTAAGCAGCACTTATGTGTGAATTTACCACACAGAAGAATAAAAGAAGAGTTTTTCTGGACCAAATAAATGAAACTACCTCTGAAAAAGGACATCAAGGAAAATGTTAAAACAGTTCTTTCCCTCAAAAATGATAGATGAGCAAAACTCATTATGCCTCCCACACAGAGCGTCATCTTTCTCCGGTCCTTCCATTAATCTGAAAAGATAACAGAGAGTGACACAGAAGTTAAGACTTCTGTGGGACTTGTTTAATTATGTTCTCCCCGTGATCTGAATAACTTCTGTTCCTGTTTAATGTTCAGTATAGTAGACTCATTCATCCAATTAAAATCCTTCTAATTGGGAGGTTTGAAGTTCATGAAAATTGTTCCCGTATGTGTGGACTAATGAATTTATTTTTAGGTTACGATAACACAGAGTCCTTGCTATGTAACTGGTGTAACGGCTATAAAAGAAACCCGACCACAATGAAAGCTGAGCCCGAGTCTCTTGTGATTTTGTCTGAGTAAGGAATGCAAGCAGGCATTTCAGACAAAGACATCATGCAACTTTAAGGGTAATACTTCAGGTTTATCGGTGTGTAATAGTGGCCTGCCTCCTCTTCCTCCTCACCTGCACCCCCAGGGAGGGAAATGTTTGATGCAGTGTTACACTGCAGACATACTGCAGTCATGCTGCGAACACTTACACTCTTAGTTTATTTAGTAGTTCTCAATTATACAGGATGTTTCTCTGTTGCATTTCAAATAAACAGAGTTAAAACTGTAAGAGGTGCGAGCATGTGCTGTGGGATTTGTGATGTCATCAAAAAACGAAATCAATGAAAATTGATATTTATATGTCAGTTTGTGAAGATGACTGTAGCCTAAGTTTACACTTATCGGCCGATTGGCTATCCAGCTTTTTGGTACATCTCATTCAATTGGGAAAACATTTTAAACCTTTTTTGGACTGTGAAATGTTCATAACTTCATGTAAAAGAATAGTTTGACATTTTGTGAAATAAACTAATTTGATTTCTTATCAAGATGAAAAGTATAGAAGCAAGATCGTGTCTTTACGATAAAGAATACATCTAGCTCCATGTCAGCCATGGATTGTTGAAATTTCTCTAGGTAATGTTTCATTCAACAACATCCAGTTAACGTCACCACCATGCAGTTTTTTTTTTTATCTATGTGTGACTTAGTGTATTTGGCAAATAAACTAAACAAAAGCCATTATTCACATAGAATCTAGTTCTGTGTTTAACACAGAAGTAATGTTCATTCATTAGTATTTAATGTTTTATTACGCTATGACTAATCAAAAATTAGGTTAAGTCAAATTTGGAGGACAAACAGGACAGGATAGAGGACCACGGCTCATTATCCAAGACTGTCTTTTTCCAGACGTCTCGTCACCCTCCTAAAATCAAAGTTGCTTGCAATAGTCCAGAACAAAACCCTTCAGACTGAACCAGGGAGGCTGTTTCCCTGTTTCCCTGTTTCCAGTCAAGATAAGCTAACCAGCTGCTGGCTGTAGCTTCGTATTTATTTGTCTATGAGAGTGGAATCAGCCTTTCTTTCCAATGGCAAGAAATCAAGTACTAAAGTTAATAGTCAGCTCAGATTGTCAATGTCCTCGAGCAGCATTCAGTGAGTAAAACTGTGTGACGTTGTTTCATCAGGTGAAGGTCATGCGTTGCCTGGATCATCCAAATGTGCTCAAGTTCATCGGAGTCCTCTACAAAGACAAGAGACTGAACTTCATCGCAGAGTACATAAAGGGAGGCACCCTGAGGCAACTCATCAAGAAAATGGTGAGAGGGTAGTGTGTGCGTGTAAACATACTAATGTGTCTACTTCCTGTTCAGTATTAAAAATGCATTCATTATACGTTTTAGTAATAGTAAAGAAAATGTGTTGTTGTATTGCCTCAGGTAGAGTCTTTGCATTTTGTAGATGATTGTATTGTTAGATGGTTTTATTTTATGATTAATCAGCAGATGCCGCTGAGGGAAATAACATTGAATTGTTCTTTTTTGCTCACAGGACAACAACTATCCCTGGAACCAGCGGGTCAGTTTTGCCAAGGACATAGCTGCTGGAATGGTGAGTTCAAGGAACCATAAGTGCCTTTGGTTTTATTAGCTACTGTACTTCTGTGAATCCACTGCAGACCATAATATTCCTTGATATGCAGCAGTAGATAGAGCTGCATTGATTCTTGTTTTTAGCACTGCTGCCTCCCTCTAGTGGTCGTGTTAGTGAGCTGCAACACTTCTGTTAACAATGTGCACATTTGTTTCCATCCCCTCTATGGAAATGATAGCAAGAATTCCTGCAGGATTAGACAATTGTTTTTCCCTGATATGGGACACTGTAGAATGTCATGCATGACTGGATTATTGTATTTTCAACATCAGCTACTTGAGAGGAAACAAGGCAGGATTGTTCCTCTTGGCATGGGTTTTAGATTACCACTAAAAGCCTCTCTTTTCTTATTCTTCCTGACTTTCTGTCCTCTCCTATCTGTCCATCTCTCTGTCATTCAGACATATCTGCATTCCATGAACATAATCCATCGGGACCTGAACTCACACAACTGCCTTGTACGAGAGGTAAGGCATTGTGTGTGTGTGTGTGTGTGTGTGTGTGTGTGTGTGTGTGTGTGTGTGTGTGTGTGTGTGTGTGTGTGTGTGTGTGTGTGTGTGTGTGTGTGTGTGTGTGTGTGTGTGTGTGTGTGTGTGTGTGTGTGTGTGTGTGTGTGTGTGTGTGTGTGTGTGTGTGTGTGTGTGTGTGTGTGTGTGTGTGTGTGTGTGTGTGTGTGTGTGTGTGTGTGTGTGTGTACATGTGTGTACATGTGTGTACATGTGTGTGTGGACATACCTACGTATGTGCATAATGTTTTCTTTGGGGATTTAACACAGTGCACATGTCACTTTAAAAACAAACAAGAGTTTTGTTAGCAGTAGCTTTAACAGACAAAGCCTTCCTCCCTAGTAACTTGGTAGCGGAAACTTCCTTCTTACCCTACTCAAACAGAGACAGTACATGTTTCTCAAGCTTTGAATCGTTCCTGAAGTGTGTGGAAAATTCACAAAAAGTTCAATTAGAAGCTTAGAATTGAATTTTAAGCTGTTGAACGAGCTTGAAACTAGTTGCACACTGCTACGTTGAAGCATATATCTATTACATCCCTCTCTTAGGCAGTATGTACTGTATGCTTAGAGAAAAACTAGAACATTTAATGACATGTTTAATTTTCTTGGTGCAGGACAACACAGTGGTTGTGGCAGACTTCGGGCTGTCTCGCCTCATGGTGGTCGACAAGCTTGAGGAGAAATTCTCGCAGGGAAAATTGCCCGGCCTGAAGAGGCCCGACCGCAGGAAGAGATACACGGTGGTAGGAAACCCCTACTGGATGGCTCCTGAGATGATCCATGGTATGATCTCTAAATCATCTTTTTAAATGACAAAATTACCTTCTCAGAGGAAGAGAACTACAATCAATGCAGTACTACATTTGTTGTGTAATGTGGCATTTCTTCTAACAGCCTAATTTGGTTATTTTCTCTTTCCAGGGAAGAGCTACGATGAGAGAGTAGACATCTTCTCCTTTGGTATCATGCTCTGCGAGGTGAGTGACTTTTTAATGTTGGGGTAATAAAAGCCAAACCTGGTTTTTGGTGTTTTACAAGAGGTAATGTTTGATTAAGCAGAACTTAAATTCCGTAATAGCTTTTTCCCAAGGCATCACATTCTGCTTACAAGTTGGTTTCCTTGTCATTTAAAAATGAAATCATTTAAACAGTCTCAAAACATCTCATTTCATTTGGCCAGAGGTTACCACCTATACAAAAAATGTTGATTTGATTTCCCATCACTCGTTCAGCCACAAGACTAATTTTAATTTGTGCACAACTGCTCTTCACTCTATTTCCCTTCTTCGTCAAGATTCAACTTACTTCACTTAATATTTCCCAGATTTTCCTGCAAAATATGGAGCATTTAGTGATCTGTCCTCCAATTATTTAAAAACATCCATTTCATTTTATGATGGAAATGTCTAGCTTTTCCAGAATTCCAAATATTTTCTTTCCAAATAAAAATCCAGTCCCAAAGTGTGGTAAGCCTTTGTCCTGGCCACACACCATCCACATCATTTAAGCTCAAAAGTTTAATTCAGCTGCTCAGATCCCCAGAGTATGACTTCCCCAGATGGGCACCATTAACCCGGCGACACTGCAGGGATTAGAGAGAGCAGAAAATCAAAGTCTTCTTCATGTGGCTTCTGAGAGGCCGGTAGTTGTGGTCTCCTGGCAACGATCAGCTTCTGTTTGCAGGGTTTACTGGTTTTCAGCAGATCAACACAGGAGGACCCAGGTTTAACTTATCTTACTCTTTTTCTCCCCTGTTGTTTTTCTCGGGCTCTCCAGGTAATTGGCAGGGTGAACGCAGACCCAGACTACCTCCCCAGGGCGATGGACTTCGGCCTGAACGTGTCTGGCTTCCTGGAGCACTTCTGTCCCCCTGATTGTCCCCCCGCCTTCTTCCCCATAGCTGCTGTGTGCTGTGACCTCGATGCAGACAAACGGTCAGACATCTTCAATAGATTCACATTGACATTTTACAAAAGGTTGTTCATGTTTGTGATGTAGCTCTGCCTCATAGAATATTTAGTGGCACCTTTCACACATTTTAAACTCAGGTGCAATGTAACCAATTACAAGTTTCAGCTTTAATTGTACAAAGTTTCACACATTTTTAGTTTTTAACAAAAGTATTTTCTAACATAAACAGTGATTCTGTTGATTATCATGGAAGATGGGGTTAATAAGAGATGTTGATCTATATTTGTTGTAATGGTCTGAGCAGCATTATGCCCTCCATTGTTTTGTGAGCAACAACTATGATCTTTAGCAACTCACCCTGGATCTATTAGGATGAATATCTAGAATTCTGAATGAATCAAATGTTTCAAACTGAGATCTGCTTTCTTGATCTTTAGGCCTGCTTTCTCTAAACTGGAGGAGTGGCTGGAGAACCTGAAGATGCACTTGGACATTGGTCTACCGCTGGTGTCTAAAGTGGACCAGATGCACAAGGCCTTCTGGGAGAACCACAGCATTCCCCGCCCTGAAAACGGCCTGCACACCCACCCCGAGCAGCCGGAGTAGTCCTTTACACGACTGGAGGAGTGGGAAATTAGATGAACCTCCACACAGGCAGCGATCACCTGCCTCAGGTGGAGCAGTGGCTGGAGCTGTACAAACTCCTCCCTGTTTAACGCTGCGGGCGCAGGCTGGCTCAGGCTGGACGAGAAGACTCGGGGAAATGGTGGATCTGAAAAGCCACCTGTGCAAGACGCACACATTCAAAGTCAAATCAAGAGACATTTACTACGATAGCTGGATTTTGCTGTATCTGACGCTAAAGTGGAACATGTCATATGCAATCAGACCCAACTCTCAAATCATGACTCAAGCCTTGAATCAGTTAATCTAATCATTAGGTGTCATTCCATACACGATTGCTTACTGTAGTGTGTATATTACTGTAGACAAAGGCAAACTTCCTCTACGTTGTATGGTATGTGTTTCCTGGTTTCTGTGTGACTTTGCTTTGATTTTGCTTTTAAAACTGAGCTTCTGAAAAACGCAAATGCCTCTCGCATGTCGCTTAAAAAAAAGTCAAACGAAACCTTTCAAGCTTTTCACTGAAGAGTGCATGGGTGTAAATAAAGGTGTCAGGTAGGACTGCTCGATTATGGCAAAGATCATAATCTCGATTATTTGGGTCAATAATTGATATCACGATTATTAAAACGATTATCCATTTACTTTGAAAACATCAATTTATTGGAGAAAAAAAATGTGAACAGTATGTTTTTAACAGTTGATTACCCTGAACTTTAAGTATAACTCAACTGAAAAAACAATACAAAATAATTAAAAAATAATCGTTTTATTTCGATTACGTTGTTTTTTCGTAATCGTTGCAAGCCATAATCGTAATTGCGATTTAAAATACGATTAATTGAGCAGCCCTAGTGTCAGGTCATGTTTCATCGTTTCCCTCTGACCTCATTTGGTCAGACACAACGAGACCTTCATGTGTCTGCGGCCCCTCCATTATTTATTGTGTAGCACTGATTTCACATTGAGGTACATATCTTTTGCATACATTTAAGAGCTGTATCTCATCCACATTGACATGGCATCTTATACATTCAAACACATAAAAGTGTACATAGCTGCCGACATTGTAAATGTTTTAAATATTGTAAATGTAAAGACATATTTTATATACGTATGCTACATCGCCATATTTTTATTGGCCGACCAGTTGAAAATTAGGGAGAGTTAAAGGTTAAAGGGCACAGCTGAAAGATGTTCCGTTTGTTTTATCTACAATGTCACCACTGTGGCAGGTAAGATGCTTTTAACCTTTGAAATAAGAAGAATCCGATCACAAAATATCCCCTCCCCTCAGTTCAAGCTCAGTAAATGTTACATTCTGTCGTTTCCCTCCATCAAGAAGTCTTTCTTAACATTTGATCGGTCATCTTTTTAATGCACTGGAGTAAATGTAACTGTAACACTGGATTATCTAATCACATCAAACTTGCTTAACTAAATCTGCACATTATGATAAACAATTATATGTACTTTGAAAATGTTTAAAGGCAATCAATCTGTTGTTAATTATTCACTCTTGTCTCATCATGTGCTGTACATTAGTTCAGGTGTGGGGATAATATCACCAGGTACTGCCTCATCGTGTCAGCTGTCTGTCCACATGTTTGTCTCTCCTCCTGTGGATCAATCACTGTTGTTTACATGTAAATGCTAACTGTAAATATCACTATATATATATGTGTCTGTCCTTGCATTTGTCTGCGTGCATTGCATAAATATCACTTCTCAGAAATAATCTCTTCCACTGTCAGATTTCTCTCTGGCACCTTCTGACATAAGTTTTCTTTTTCTAATCAGAACTTTTTAATGTTTTTTTTTATTTCCTGCTGTTGTTTTCACAAGCTGCATGATGTACTAGCTCGGTCTGTTCAGCTTTTCAACCAAGCTCTTTTTGTCTCTAAATGCTGTCATTTTAAATAAGAAAACAAAGAATGAAAGATAAAAAAAAGTGAACAGAGAAAGTCAAGCTTCAATTGAAATGGGGGGAAAAAACACAGCATCTGTTTTTATATATAACCACTGATATCTTTTTGTATAGATTTGAGTACTTTAATTTGCACTATATTACCAAATGGCTGGATGAAGCCATGTTTGTTAATTTCCTCTATTGGGCTACTTGTGATAAGGAAATGCATTATCTCGGTTCAGGTTGATATATGAATGCAAGACACTGATGGAGCCTTTCACCTGTAAAAAGGCTATCTGGGAAATTCATCCTCTTGATAGCAAACTGTTTCGAATTATTTAGATGCATTTGTGCATGGATCGACTTTTAAATACGGCTTTGGAGCCTGCTGGACCCCCCTGTGATCTAAAGTCATATATCTATAACTATATTTACATTTTCAAGCCTTTTTAAAAGTCTTTGCTACCAAGAGGATGTCCCAGGTCTGCCTGCTGCCTACAGACTGGTCCTTTGTGAATGATGTTGTTTCTGACTGCTTGGTTTCGTATGTGACGCCCACAGAGGCTGCAACCACTGCTGCTCTTTCTGATAGTAGAGCACTTAACGCTGGCCTATCTCACCTCTCACCTCCTCATCACACTCCTTTGGCTCAGGGCCGTACTTTTCTCAAGCTTTCTTCACAACTCTGTTAATTCAGCAGCTTACTAGAAAAGCAGAATTCAACAGTAACAGTGAGACTTAAATAGCATGTACCCTATTTCAATGTGTAGGCTGATAACATAAAACATGCTTCTGCAAAACCGTGGGCGTGTTTCTGCACACGAGTGGCTTCTCCATGTTTCTGTCTGGCCACGTCGAGCATGTCAGGTGTGTCTGTGAGGACGTGTTAGGATCAATGAGAAGGTCGCCGCAGCACTTCTTTGCAAAGGATCGTTACCTCTGAACATTGCTGTGCCTTTGTTGTGAACTAGCCTTGCCAATTACTCGAAAACGTGAACTGATTTCCTTTTATATGTATCATTAAGTGCAAGCCTGATTCAAGTGGATTGAATATCATTGCTGATAATATGTTGTATGAGATTTCATCTTGTGGTGTATCATATTTATAATTTCCAGATATCCATTGTTAGTATTGATATTTTAATATTATATTTCTTTTTTTGTCTTATTTAATTTTTTTTTGTACACACAAGCTGTGAAAACAATTCTGCACTTTAATCCTGAACCTGAACATTTAGACTCTGAGGAGGTGACTATTTTTTTTCTTTCTTTTGTCACAGCTAAAAATAAAACTGTTGCTTCTAAACCAAGCCAAAGACTCAACGTGTTGATTAATGACGATGTTTCTCAGACACGGTTATTCTCTTCATGTTCACTCTATCATTAGCCTTCCTGACATTTGTACTACTGAAGCAAACACAGAGAACAAAGTGGGACAGCTAATGTGTTTAAAATCAGTCCACTCAGAATATCACTGCATTATCGTCAATACATTTATGTGCTACAATAAAGTGGGAGAAAAGACCAAAACAATGAATTCTTTGGAAATATAGTAACAAATAAACCACTAGATGTCACTATGTATCTGCTTTTTTATTTGTATGGTAGATTAAATGATACAAATATAATATAAGTACAACATAGTATAGTACAAAATAAATACAGCTGCTAATCTCTGGTGGGCATTATGCACATACTTTATTCCGCAGTAAAAATTGCACTCAAAGATTTATTTTAAGTAAAAGAACTAGCAGAAATAGTTTAAAGTATTAAAAGTAAAAGCACTTAAAAGGTCAGAAAATGTCAGTATTTAAAACAGAGTTATCAGAGCTATGTAAAGGCTGTGTAAAGTAGTTGCACCATGTATGTGATTAAAACATTAATTCAGCATGATTATTATAAAATGTAGGGGAGAGTGGGGTAAATTGAGCCATTTTTTAGTTATGCTGTCCTCTAAGCAAGAGGAAATGACACATAGTAAAAATGAAAACACACACCTATAATTCAGGATGTCTCCTATCAATGGCAATGATAATAATTAATATTTGATCAAGGGCAGTGAAAATATTACTTCTTAAAAAAAAAAGTCTTGTGGCTCAACTTGCCCCAGTGTAGGGGTAAGTTGATCCAGGTCAGGGGGTAAATTGAACCACTATTCAAACCTGGGCATACCTACAACACATCTTAAAGGTAACTATACAAAATAAATAACAAACCAAATACAAGCTTAGTTTTTCAAATATTTTTAATATAAATTTCGATTGAATTGTATTGTGTATTGTGAATTGAAAAGTAATCATACAAATGGTGATACAATTTCATACATCTTACCAATCAAACACAGGGTACATTCAACTTTAAATGTAACCTACAATGAGCTCTTATTATCAACTTGGCCTACTTTCAATCATTCATTTCTCCATTGAAAAACTGTCTCAACTTACCCCATGGCCCATGGTTCACTTTACCCCATAGCCACCATTTTAGAAAAAATAGCCTATCATTAAAATTCAGAGTCATCTTTAGCTTAATGATTCACATGGTTTACACTGCCAACACATCAACACAACATATGTGTTTAAACCTATGGTTTAAACCTGGATACTTTTTGTTTGACATGACAGCCGATATAGCTGACATCTAGAAAATGTACTTTGACAAGCAAAACACGTTTTTTTTGTCAAAATGTTTACTTACCAGACCACAATGAGTATCTCTCTTTCACAGGCAATGATAAAGGGTGGAGCTTGCATCATTTCTGGTCACTTGATTACAACTATAAGGCGTTGCCTGGTTACAGGGGGTGGTTCAATTTACCCACTGGTTTACCCACTTACCTTCTCCCCTAATGTTTTTTAAAAAGGGCTTTTTTTAGGCTTATGCTATTTCTGTTATTATTTTGTACTAGATTCTGACCTGTAGGCTAATGGAGTCTTTGTATACTGCGGATTAGTGCTTCTTTTACATAAGTAACATATCTGAATGGTTCTTTCCATCACTGTGGGATCTTAGCTAACAATGACTTGTCCACAACCGCCATTGTTAATCTTTGCAAAGATATGAATGGTTCGATATTTTCAATTTTTTCTTGCAGGTGCATGTGACGCTTCTCCCATCGCGTCCACGTGCGATTGTTTTCATTCCGACACTGCTGCAACGGCTCGTGACGTCACCTGTCTGGCTGCCTCTTTGAACGACAGTGAGTGTGTTTTGAGTGTGTGCTGCTACCAAACACACAGACTAACACACACTCGAGTGGGACGGTCCAACACAACGCACGGGCTGTCATTTCACCGCAGTTGTGTTGGGATTGAGAGAGGAAACTAAGGAATTACCGAAGAAGGAAAAGAAGGAAAAAGAGGAAAAAAGAAGACGAAGGTCTGAAACTTTTAAAGATGGAAAATCCGTCCACCAACAACCGGTTTCGGTCCACAATCTTCAACCACGGTGAGTTTCCTCACATCTGACACTGCATGTGGGATGTGTTATTACTGCAGTGATGCTACTCTACTGTCGTACATTTGGACTGACAATATCCTACACCTTTCAATAAAATCGTGATTTTGACACACGGAGCTAGCATGCACCGTTCAAATACATCAACTCGTCACTCTATCGGCCTACAACTGAAAATCTATCCAGGGTTTTCAAGCCGATTATGGCAGTAAATTGAGTTGTATGTGTGCTGGAAGATGTTAACACTCACTGGAGCAGAGGGTACACGAGAATCTCTTAACAGCCTCCATGGGACACGCAGAGCAGCACACTGTAATTCTGCAGTTATGCAAGAGTGGCACTAAGACTCACCACAATAAACTATTTCTGGACCACGAAGAAATAATGTTAGCTGGATAGCATACTGACAAACCAAGGGCTGAAAGACTCGCCCATCACCACACTGTTGTTGTTGTTCTATTCACCCTGCACAGTGGTGGAAAGTTAAAGTACATTTACTCAAGTACTGTATGGTACCTAAATAACATTTTGACAGACCAATTTCCCCAAAGTTGAGGTTAATTTGTTCTCTTTAATGACACATAAGGTGCTGTCATTGACGTTGACAATTTGGCATCTATCTGCAATAAGCTTATATAATCTGTATACATTTTAATCAAGTTAGCTCTTACTCTATAATGATACATATTCAGTTTCCTGTTGAATCCTACACAGACCACCTCAATCTCATCATGTCTAACTCTGTAAACTCCCAGCCTGTCCCCACCTCATGATCTCCCCCGGTCTGTTCAAATGACGTAGTTTATTTTGAGGCACATCATTGTCATGATATGGAGAACACTGAAACATCTGCCTTGCTGAAACTGTTGACCTGCGGTATACTGCTGCGGTGGTGGAGATAGAGCAGGGTGATGATGGGAGGTGATGACAGCTCTCACTTCGGAGACAGTGAACGACGTAGTGCTGAGCCTCATGTGCTTTTCTTTGCATGTGTTGATCATGCTGCACCTCAGATGTGATGATTATGTTTTATCACCTAAACCTAACTTGAGAGAGAGCCTGAATCCTCAAAGATCAGTAGTAGATGTGTCCATTTATGTGTCCAATTGATCCCTTTAGCTCACACATTGGTCCTGTATTCATAAACAAAGTACATGAAAATATCTTAATCTGGTTTATTGGTTTTAACCAGCAACCATGAAACTACTACGACAAAAAGACACCTTTGAAATCCCTGTTGAGAGATACTTCCCAATGTGGTTGGTTAACTTGTTTGGTCACAGAAAATACAATGTTACGCCCTGAAATGCACCTTTAGCACCTTTAGCAGATCTGACATCTTGGTGATAAGTTCAAACATTATTTTTCCATGTCTGACTTTCTTGTCTTACTAATGCCTGTTCTGCTCACTGGAAAATCCTATCAACATTTCTTCATTGATTATGTCTTTGCAGAACTGTTCACACGTCAGTCATGGAATTAAAAACCTTGCAAGCAAGACATTCATTTCAACACTTTCTTTTTAGATGAAATCTCCAATGAGCTGTAGGTCGACTTACAATCTAGGCCTGCTTTATATAGAGCCCATAACCCATTTAAGAAATAAAGCAACATGTTCCTTTTCTGCACAAGAGCCTAGACTCCCTTAAGAAGAAGTGTTTGAAAGGCACCCAGTCAGAAGTGGAGCAGTATGGATCATGGGAGGCACAGTCAGCAGTAGCTAACATTCCTCAGGAAAAGCCCTGTGGAGAGATGCTGCCATCCCTGCCGCTGTCTGTGGCCGCCATGACAGCGTCACTGGTGGAGGACCTCAGCATGTAGGTCAAGACAGCAACCACAAGAAACAAATAGCAAGTCAAGCAAGTAGCCATTACATTAGAGGAAGTCAACATTGACCCCACGTTCTGCAACTGCCATTTTTTCAGAGTTGCACTTGTGGATGTTTGGTTTATCTGTTTATTTGTTTGCTTTGTCAACAGTGCACAGGAGCCTTATTTGCAAGTTTCAAAGTAATTTCCCTCAAAGTGCATCTGGAGTGATGCATACTGATGTTAAGGTGATGTTTTAAAGAGTCGGAATATGCAGCTCATACATTATATATAATCCATATGCAGGGAATGCTGTAGCGCTGCCTGTCAGCTGTAACCTTTGAACTGTTCCTGAAGTGGTTGAAATGGTGGCAGAGGTTTATGATGACGTTACAGTGCCCTGACCCTGGTCTCCGCACCGTTTCCTCTGTGAGATGACAGACAGTGATTGTGCTGAGGTTAAAGTAGTCAACCAATATTTGTAATACTGCCAGGGAGTTTCCTAGAACAGGCATCTCCGAAGTAAAGGAATAGATTTTTCCTCTTAAGAACTGAAAGAATCAGTAAATGGGAAACATCATGAATAATTTGGGCCTGCGTCCGCCTCTGACAAATGACTGGAACTGATCTGAAAGGACTTTGAGTTAAGTGCCTGTTTCATTACTGAACATGCCACACTCCTGCTTTTTAACTGAAACCAAAACACATGACCTTTACCAGGAGGGTGTGAAAATGGTACTTTTCCAAATGTATGTTCAGGTAATAAATAATGTCCTGTGTCTTTGCACCCTACCAGCAGCCCCTGCACCCTTTTATTTGGGGAACACAAACTTCCTTGGCCTTTGAAAACGAAATTTCCTTTGAATGATTTATACTTAAATACTTTTGCGACATCATCACTCAAGCTTTATTGCCGACATATGATACCCTCTTCACCCCCAAAGCGACCCTTTGTACATCAATTACTCACGCGCCATGTTGCCGTGAATTCTTGAAGAAAACTTGATTTTCTCGCATGCCTCCACCGTGATCAAAGACTGAATTGA